AAATAAAATAAATAAATTAAATGACCCCTCCAACTAAATCAACTAAACTGAGATGACTAGTAATGCAAAACACCCTCTGAATGATTCTTCTCATGTTTCTTTATATGTGTAAGAAAAACATTTAAAGAAAGAAAATGTTTTTTAAACTAATTATGCTATGAATGTGTCATGCTTTTTGGTTTGTCAGAACTGACTACGGACTGAGAAAAAATGGGAAATTCTATTTTATGCAATAGATATGAATTTACTTCTTAGATAAATTTTTACCTCCTGAATATTAGTGAAATAAAATTATCCATCTTTAAATTTTCTCTTATTAAATGAAAGATTGCTAAAAGAGAATTTTGATAGCCTAAATATAAATTCTATTTTACTTGGTGTATTTAGCTTTTCTTTTTTTATTACACATTTAATTTTTTTCCAGTTTCCATGCCAGTGGGTACCTATTTTCAATGATAACATACTTTTTGGTTCTTTGAAACTAAAAAAGGACTCATTTTAAACTTACTATGACTTTATGATAATTTAACTTTGTTTTAGCTTTCCTTAGCAGCAAAAACTCAATTTTGAACTTAAAAAAAAATTCACATTGATTTTTATGAGTTATTTCCTTGTTGTTTTATATACCATTTTTAAACAGACTCTACAAATTTTTGAATAATCATTATGCACCTGAATAATCATTATGCACCTGAAGATTATTCTATGCCACTAATTATTTCTTTGTTTCAATTTTTTTTTTGGGTCTTCATACATGTACTTTGGATTGTAATGATCATCACATTTCACCATCATTAATTACCCCATGTCCCCTTACTTCCCCTCCAACCATTCTTTGTTTCAGTTTTGATTAAAGTTCACTTCCCACTTATGCTCAAGAACTTTTACTTCTGAGCTGGTTGCAGTTTATGCATGCTAATAAGACCACACAGAAAACAGAAGATCTAAAATGGAAGATTAAACATGAAGAAACATTTTCAAATCAGAATATTTTTCATAATTTGAACATTTAAAAAATTTTTAAAAAATCTTCTTGTTTCTTTTCAATTTATTAAATGAAAGATTGTTAAAAGAAAATTTTGACAGTCTAAATATAAATTCTATTTTACTTGGTGTATTTAGCTTTTCTTTTTTTATTACATATTTAATTTTTTTTCCAGACTATTGTGGAAATTTAGTTTGTTTTAGTTTGTTAAAGAATTAGAAATTCTTTTTTATTTATCAAAAAATTAATAATTCCTGTTTAGAAAGAGGAATCATTTACACAAGTGAGATAATCATTGGAGAATATTTTAAATATCTTATTAAAAATAAACTATTTTGTTGCTAATTATTTGAGTAGTTTAAAATATTTTTAAACCTTTTTTCTTAATCTTTTTCTGAAGTTTTCTTTTAGGTTTCACAGACTGATTCTAATTGCAGCAAACCCTGGTCCATCCCTATTCCCTAATGTTTGGGGTTCAAGAACAGAAATTAATTTTCTGATGGATTTAAAGGCTCAGGAAGTCATGCTATGAACATCTTATCTAAAATATATAGCAAGTTAGAGGCAAATCTTAAATCTGCATATTTACAAAATGTTTTATAATCCCAAATTGTACACATAAGCAGTGATGCTTCTGAAGCATCAACAAAATTATGGTGTTTAAATCAATCAATATAGCACCTTTCAATTTGTGTGCAGTGCTGACTTTATAGACAAAATGAATACCTTCACCATAATGTTCCTATTCTGGGGAAAACATAAATGATTTTGTGGTTCTTTGCTTGCAGTTTGTGAAGTGACTTATTTAAGATATTATTCTTAAAACTTAGTTTTCTTCAGTATGGAAAGATTTGCCACTGTAATGCCAACAAAGCAATGTTCAGCCTCTTTCTCTTCATTGAATTTTTTTCCTCTATGACAGTATTCAAAATGAGGATTGATTGTCTTTAATGACCCAAATAAATCTGCTCAGGTAAAAATGACCAAGTAACTGTACTCAATATGCCTACCAATTAGGTTCTAAAGACATAAACACTCAATATTTTCAGTGTTCAAAACCTACTTATCTGGTCTGGAGTACTCTAATATACATGTTTAAATACTGAATGATGAACAATAGAGACTTCTTTTTGTCCAACTGATAAATATATAAACTTTTTAGGGGCCATGAATGTCAACAAGCTGCTTTTGCACATGGCAGCACAAGTCCACTCACTTCAATAAATCCTTTTTTGGATTCCCACTTGTTCCCTCTCACCTTTCCCTTTTGGGGGTGTCTCTCTCCCTCTCATCCCTGACATTTCAGTGTAGGAACAACTTGTGTGACAAGTGAAGAGAATAAAAGATGTCATGCTAAGCAGGAATAGGAAATCAGGGAGGTAATTTTTTTATCATCCAGGCTCTCAGCACATTCTGTTGGAACTACAGCAATAAAAATAGTACATAATAATGGTCAATATTTGCATGTCTCTTTCCAGTTTCCATTTCCGCATCCTCTGTTCCCTTGGAGCCTCACAGTAGACCTTCAGCTTTGTGTCTGTGCATTTAATCTTGCTTTGCATTTTTTTACTGAATCATCAAACACACTTGTCAGTTTCTTGAAGGCAGGAACTGTGTTTTATATTTCATGAACATATGCACATATTAAACCACGTAGAAATTAACCTTCTTAAACTGACTGCCAAGTGGTCAAGAGCTTTCAATGGAAGAATCCCTGGATTTGATGATTCGAAAAAATATATATATATTAAGACTGAAAGGAGACCAATGACACTGACAGAGAGGATTGGAAAAAGTCCAAGGTGGTTGGGTCAAAGGAAGATGTCTAAACAGGGAGATGAGGGAAGTAACATTGAGGGATCCCCCCTAAGAAGATGCCTCCAGGGCCAGAGCCCTCTGAGACATACTTTGAGGAACATTACCTTAGGGGCAAACTTGCTTTCCATGGTACCTACATATGATATTCAATTATTTTTTTCTGTTGAAGCGCATTTATTCTATTACAAAGTTGGTAGTATATGTGAAATGATTTTTATAGGCATAAAGTAGAACATTATAATTACATCTTAGTTCTTAGTCTAATTTTATTTTAATTGTATTTTTGCTTAATCACATTTGTTATTTTTATTATTAGACTTTCAAAGAAATTTTTATTTTGTTCTTCAATACTACTCTTTTCCCCGTTTTCTTATTTTTTTTCTACTTTTGTCTTCATTTTGTACATATTCTAATTTTTCTTGATTTGTTTTTCTCCTACTACCTTTTTGAGGGGCTTTTATTTTAAATCATTCTAGTTTAGTCAAAACATTTAGAGCTATGAAATTTCACCCCAAATATACTTTTAGTTGCATCTCATAGATTTCTTTGATATATACATAGTACTGTCTTTATTTTCTATATTTTATATTTTTTCTTTTTATTCCTTTCTTGAGCCTAATGAATCAGAAATCTTATTTTAAAACTTACCCATGGTAGTATATCCTTTCCTTATCTTTTTATCATTAATTTCCAGTGCAATTTCATTGTGATCATACATGATTTGTTTAAAGGGGAAAATAAGGAGAAGATGATATAAGAAATGAACTGGGGAAAAAAATATATATATATATTATATAGGGCATAGGAATATATATAAAGGTGACATGACATTAAAGAGTAAAATAAAATAATGAAAACAAATGAAAAGAGGAAGTAAAAGGACCCATGCCTGGACAAAGGAGAGTCTCTAGTCTTGCTCATTGGCCTGGCAGCTGGTTGGATTGTTGATAGCGCTCCCTGTGCCAGGCAGTGTCTGGAAACCAGAAAGATGCAGGGCAGGGAGAAAAGGACAGAGTAATGGGAGAAATAAGCACCAGAGAGACTCCTCAGAGAAAATTCAGCTGCTTGACTCCCCTACCATACCACAGGCAATCTGCCAGCAGTCTGGCCCCTTTCTGCCTCCCCGCCACCCTCTGCCTAGTCCATGCCTTCTCATCCCTTAATTCCTCCAGGGTCACAACTTGGTATCTGTCTCACACTTACCCCACCCTTTATTCTCCACCAGACAGCCAAAGCAGTCTTCTTAAAACTTGAATCCAATCCTATCACGGTCAGCTCAATACCCTCTGGGGACTTCCCACCCTCTTTAGAAGCCTCTGCAAAATCCCCACCCCACTTCCATAGCCTCCTGGTATAATATAGTGTCTAACTACTCCTGGCCTCATTTCCTGCCAGGTTTTCATCTGCAACACTGAAAGGAGATTACAGATACAGACTCCAGAGCAATCCTGCCGCTCACGGGCTGTGTGGTATTAGGCAAGTTGCTTTAGTTTTCTCTGAGCTCTTGTGGGATGAAAAGAGCCCTAAGAACAGCTGCCAACCCATGACCAATCTATGCACAGGTCAATGGTTTAAAATAACTTGGTGTCTTGAACAATTAAATTTTTAAAAGGGAGTGCCAAAATTATTAAGGAGAGAAAATGTTCTTGTGGGTTGTTACAATCAAGTGTTAAAAACAAATTTTTATGAGGTCTTTCATTGTGTGCACAGTGGAATCTCCCTTTGCTCTTTCATTCCAGAAAAAAAAAAAAACATTAAAATCTCATTAATGTTGGTAGTGTTGTATTGATTTATAGCTTGTTTCATTTTTAAATAAATAATATTCTCTTAAAAACTCACTTTTTATCAGTCCCTGACTTCAAATCCATTTCACAGGGGAAAAGAGTCTTAGACACGCAAAGGCAGTGAGCTGACTCACTCATAGCCCTGAAGGGAACAGAGAACAGCCAAGAGCTGCTGGAAGTGCATGTGGGCAGGCAGGTGAGAGCCCTGGTTGGTGCGTCTGGACTGCCAGTGAGACTATAAATCGCCCTGTGTCAGTCTGCGCTGCCCACTTGAGCTTCCCCAAGGCCTATAGGTATCTGGGATCTTGCTCTAACATATCTGCTTAAAAAAAAAAAAAAAAAAAAAGGAATAAAAAAGAAAAAAAAAGACGTTCTTTATTCTGGTAGAAGCAATTTTTTTATTTTTTGGCATAATGCCTTCCCCTTCCAATTCTGATGAGCTGATATTTTTTGTGAATGGAAGAAAGGTAAGTTCATGACATGATTAACATGAATTTTCATATACCAGGGATAAAATCAAGGCTTTCTCCCCCCCCCCCGTGTGATGCCATTCATTTAATTTTTCCTTAACTTCTGTCTTCTTCTGTTTGAAGTCATATAGTGGTATAAACTTGGGTCAGTAGTTGAAATGGTGCCCAATTATTAAAACATGGGGCTTCTATTTGCTTTTTGTTTTTCCTCTGCCTTCCCTCACAGCTTAGCCTCTCTGTTTCACTGGGAGACACAGAGAACTAGTGGCAGAAGTAGGGAAACAATAGCCCTGGTTTTAGGAAATCTTCTCTGCCTAACCAATTTAATGACTTTCTGTGGCCATGAGTTATTTGAGTCAATTTGGGAATCTGTGTATTCGTTCCCTATCTGAGTCCTTTTCAGGTAAGTTGGGGTCAAAAAATTATCAGGTATATCGGAAAATTCAGGCATCAGAAAATGCACTATATCTTCAAAATTTGGGCTCCAAGTAGTAAAGGATTTCTTTATTATGTTTCTCTTCTAAAGCCACCCACATCAAAAATGTGCCCTCAGAGCAATGTCTAGAATTGCCATAACATGTCGATATTATCTTCCTAATCTCCCTTCTCCCATTTCACAATGTAGGTAATAGAGAAGAACGCTGATCCTGAAGTCAATCTGCTGTTTTACGTGAGGAAAGTTCATATCCTTGTGTTTCGCTGTAATCCATCTGAATTGGGTAGTAAGATGTGAACATGGTAAGAACTATCAAGAAAGTCACCTGAATTTGTTCTAGATAATGACCTTATGTTCCATTGGCAGAGTCTAGTCGGAGTTCAGAGAATGAATCTATCAATTTGTGCTTTGTTTGATGCATTTTTTTTTAACCTGAGCAAAACCAAAAGAAGCATCCAAAGAACCATGACTGTGCTCACTTGGGAAATAACTTATGACTTTGGAGCCCAGTGGTCATTCTGATGCTTGTTTCATATTCAGGAATATTATTGATGTAAATGTGTCTAGCCGAATTTCTGGCCAGCTAAATATTCATAGGTGCATGTCACAGGCAAGAGTGTTCCACAAGACATACTACCGACTGCTCCTATGTCCTTGGGTCATCCCTATCAGAGAAAACAAGTATTATTAATGTATTTCAAACTCCCAAAGTATAGTTAATGCCCTTCAAGCTTTCCATCTCTGCTCTTAACTCCACATTCCTCTGAGACCTTCAGTACACCTTTAGTATTCAAGGAGAATTCCTTGGATTTGGGTGCAACTATAAAGGGCTGGTACTTAGGACCAGTTGTGGCCATGGTTATATAAATTTATATATGAGCCCAAATTGCATTGAACTATGCACGCATGTACCTGAGTGTGTGTATAAGAGGTGAGCTCAGGATAAGTTCTGCACTCTAGTTACCAACACTGTGCCAATGTCAAATGGCTGGTACCGATTTGTACTATAACTATGTGACTATCATCAGTTGGGTCAATTGGGGGAAGCTGGGTGATGAATATACAGGGCTGTCAGTACTACTTTACAAACTTCCTGTGCAACTATAATTATTTAAAATAATAACTTAAAAATATATACTCATTGAGCACATACAAAGCTCCAGGAACTGTGTTAGGCTCTAGCCAATGATGAACAAGTTGATATTATCCTCTTTCTCTGTCTTTTTTGCCCCCAACATACATATCTGAAGACTATTTCAATACTCCCTGTTCTCACCATGACCCTTTGCTAAAAAATAGACTGTATCTCACCCTTGTTTTCTCTGAGACTCCATCTCTCTCTACTTAGTACCTCGTTGTCTGGTTTCCTACCCATCTTTTACCACTCTGCCCAGTACTGCCTCCTAAGGTCATTATTCCACTTACATTCCAGGTGGGCAAATCTTCCCTCTCCACTCCTGCCATTTCCCATCTAACTCCTTCAAAATCATACTAGAAATCAGCAGGACCTATCACTCCCTTTTTATATTATTTCTAAGTACCAACCACACTTCCCCCTGCTTTCTCTGACATCTTAAAATGAGGAAATAGATCTATATTAGGAGAAAACTGAAAATTCACAAATTTCCAAGCAAACATTGCCAGAACTAGCCCTAGGAAAAAATCACCCCCAGCGCCCCCACCTGCTTTTCCTCAGCACCTGCCTCTGTTCATTCCTTGATGGTGCCTAATATAAATAAGCAGTTCTGGGCAAGTAAGAATTGCCTGGGACCACCAGATCCCAACTTTACAATTAGAGTGAACAGTTCTGTACAGTTCTGTAATGGGGTCAGAGGTGTTATAAAACTTACTTGTTCCTCAAGTGGGTTGTTATGATGAATGGCTACTCTAGAAATGAATGTTTGTGAATAACCACAGATTCTTCTGCCAGTATCGTCCTACTTCTCTTTCACAGGACTCCTGTAGTCCTTCCAAAAAACTGTACCTACGTCTGGGAGTGTGTGTGTATGTGTGTGTGTGTGTGTGTGTGTGTGTGTGTGTATAATTTTTTCCTTTAAATCATGTCATCCATATTGCAAAAACTTTAGGATCCCATAAAACCTTAATATACTAGTGACTCAGGCCTTAGCTTAGGAGTCATCCCCAGAGTAGAACACAGTCACACAAAGAGCAAACTTTGGAGGGATCTGCATCTCTCTTCCACTGTCCCATTCTCTCCCTGTCCAAGATCAGAGGATCTTTCAGAGGCCCACAACTTCCCATTGACACATCCCAAAACCCCCACCGCCCCACCCAGACCGGCCAGTGGATCCTGTATCCCTGCTTGTTCAGCACCTTCCAGCCTGGTTTTAAGCAACCTGCAGAACAAGATGATGCACCCCAGGCTGAATGGCCCACAGCTACTTGGGGAAAGAAGGGTGCAGCACATTAGAGTTGTTTAATCTCCCATGAAATCCTGACTCTAGAATCAAACTGATGACTTCAGGGGAGAGGGGTCCTAGAAGCACCGCCAAACATTTGTCCTTCACCCACCCCTCACCAGAGCCCTGATATTGCTTGTAGTTCTGAAAACACTTCTTAATTTTATTCAGCTGATTTTATCAAGTGCCGGGTATTCTAAAGTAAGCTAAAAAACTGTGGGCTGCACAGAGGAAGTGGGGTGAGCCCCATGTCATGGCACACAGGGAGGGGCACTCACCCTGGGCTTGGGGAGAGAAGGAAAGGACCAGGCAGTTTCAAGGCAAATAGAACTTGGAACCAAGGGCATTCCAGTCAGTGTCCAGAGCATAGAGTGCTTGCAAGGAACAGAAGGGAGTCCTGATGGCTGCAAAGACCTGGAGGTGGGGGTGGGAGGCTATGGTGGCAAATGAAGGAGAAATAAGGAATGAGGTCCTTGAAGCAAAGGGCCAGGCCTGGCTGATGTCATTGTCACAGAGTGCATGAGAGTTACAGACCACCAAACATACTAAGCCAAATTGAGAGGGAATAAAAGGTTCTTTAATGAGCATGCCAGGCAAGCAGCTGGGAGCAGGCTAATGCCCCAAAGAACTCCCAGCACCTGAATATTGGAAGTACAGAGTTTACAAAGACAAAAACCATAAGAACAACTGAGGCACATATAGGTCAGAAAGACCCTGTTGATACAGATAATTTTGATCATATGAGAGAATTGTTTTGATTATACATTTTAGAGTCATTTTGTTATACATCAGGGCTGTAGTCAGGGATGCAGGAAGGTCCTACTGTACTGTCAACATAGATACAGCTGTCAGGAGGCTGCAAAGAAAATATTTTAAGCAAGCATTCAATGGAGTTAGGTCAGAACAAAATGGCATTACTTTGGTTCTTTTGCATTTCAGTCACAATCCCTGTGCACGCCACCTGCCCACTTAGTGTTGGGGTAACTTTGGGATATATTGTTGGGCTATGAATAGGACACCAAAAAAGCTCTTCAATGTAAAGGAACAAACAATAACTGACCTAAGTCAGTTTGACTGAAGTTGCTGTGTTAGGCATATAAAAAAAATATAGCACACCCAGTTAAATTTGAATCTGAGTGCGTAAGACATGCTAAATATTCCTATCGTTTATCTAAAAGTTAAACTTACCTGAAGGTCCTGTGCTCTGTCTGGCAACCCTACCTGATGATGAGTGTTGAGATGACTCTACAAGAATATGGAAGGAATTGTCAGGAACTCCTAGTGAGGGTGGAGGGAGGGGCCGTCAAACCAGCTACTGGGCATCCAGAGGACAAAACTGCTGATGGAATCAATTTTTCACTTTTTACTCAGGACAATTTTAAAATGCATGTCACAGACTGTTTTTACATTCTGAGGAAGTGAAAAGTGACCCTTGTCTCTGAGCCAGATAGCACTTGATTCTTTATTTGGAAATTTCAGGAATTTCCAAAAGCAGAAACAGAGGATTTTCTTGCCTTTCATGCCCCATTCAATGGAACACTTCAACTAAGATATGAGCCACTTACTTTCAGCCCTCTGCCTGGATGTGGAAAGCCTGGCTTGGCAACCCTAAGATGGCTTAGCTGGCTCAGATGGGGACTAAAGAACAAAGCAGAATGTGTGCAGCCTGTCTGGGCTGCTGCAAAGAACTTCCCCTTACTCCACCACTAGGGTTATCCTGACCCTGCATTACCTCTCCTGGACAGCAATTTCCAAGATGAAAATGAGCCTTAGCCTCCACCCAAGCCAATTATAAATTTCACCATGAAATCCTTTTTAAACTTCATCCAGAAAATGTCCCAAGCAAATTCCAATAGATTCTTGGATGCAATTCCACTAGAACCTAAAGTAGGGGATTTGCATATATTATTTGTGAAAATATGCAGATGTCTTATAGGAAGAAGATATACAGTGATGGTTGATATTATTGACTCAACTAATCCCATAAGAAAATAAAAGCATTACATTGCTGTACCTGAGAAAGTTAAACCTCATGGGGTTGGGGGTGGATTTTTCTAAGTTCTGCACACAAACTCCTTCCATCACTCTGAAGCAATAACACCACAAGGGTTCTGAATCCATTGTCCAGTTCTGGACTTTTTACTGTGGACTTTTTCACAACTCATTTAGATGCAAACTCTGACCCAACAAATGTGAGGTTCAAGCAATCTTTGGGTATCCTACTTGTGTGAATGTCCATATGGGTCACTGTAGAAGTATCCATGTTTGATCACAAGGGGCTTCTCTAGGCCCACTGGGAAAATCTGAAAATTTTTATATCTGGAAATTCATCTGGACCCGAGGTTTTCAGATAAGGCAGTGTGGGTCTTGGGATTTCTTCTCACCTTTCGTCAATGAGCTCATTTATAAGCAAAAAGATCATACATAAGCAGGAAACTGGCCAATTTGTTACAAGAGACATGGAAACATGTTGCTTGTTATCAATCTCCAAAGGAGAGAAACGTGAAAACCAAAGCAGCCAGGGACCCCCTTTTCCTTAACTCCCTTCCCCCAGTCCGTCTCACAGGTACAAAATATGGCTGTGGGGGAGGAGGCTGTGGCGCCTGCACGGTGATGGTGTCCAGATACAACCCGAAGACCAAGAAGATCCAGTATCCTTTGTGTTGGCCTGGCTCAGCTCTGGCCTCTGGCAGGGTGTGGAGCCTCTCACTTTCGCTGTGGCCATGAGCCCCTCCCATCTCCTTCCAGGAATCTAGCATAGTCATGTTGCCTCCAGATCTTTCCCACAGATGTTCTTTCTGGCAGAATGTATTGGCCCATGTGCCAGTCGCTCAGGGCTCTGCTCTCTACTGCTGCAAAAACACTTGCTTTGTTTTTGAATAGGAGATTTCAGAGTGTGTATCAGGCAAGAATGGTTAATGGAAAGAAGTGATAGTCTTGCGGGAAGATGTAGGTCAACTCAATGAGAAGAGTTGTTTGCTCAGAAGTGCTGAACGACTTCTCGAATCATGCCATACAATTGAACCAACATTACCTTGACCTAGAAATGAAATCTGTGCTCTGATTGAATGCAGAGGTGAAGGGAGAGTTGTCTAGCATGACTGCCAAGTTTTTGCCTTAGGAAACTTGGCAGGGGGCATTTACAAATTAGAAAACTTGGAAAGGGGTGAATTTAGCTAGAGACACATTGCATTTAGGGTAATTATGGGACACTTCAGAGGGACTGTCCAGCAGAACTCTAGATTGTTCTGTTATTTAAAGAAGAGTTCTCATTTAGAGCTTATAACTTAATGTTATATCATCAATACTAACAATAACAATGCTAATAAAAATAACTATTGAGTGCTTATTGCATACAGGCACTATTCAGAGTTGCTTACATATAGGATCATATTAAGTTTCCCAAACAACTTTGAGATAGACATTAAATTCACTCACATTTTGAAAACAGGAAACGGAGGCAAATAACTTTCTCAAGGTTTCATGGGTCAGTGAGTAGCAAAGGCATGTTTTCATCCCACATCATGTAAAAGGCAGGGGAACTACAGGAGAGAGTAGAAGTGTGAGACACTGTAGGACAATAGAAAGGAAACTGGGCAAAGAAAGAAGCCCCCACACAGGAGACCAAAAGAGTCTCCAAAGTTGAAGGAAGACTATCAAATGGAGAAGGTTCCAAGAAGATAGCGGTGATCACTATTGTGAAACCCTAACCCTAACCTCAAACCCTAACCCCAACCCTAACCCTAACCTGGGAACACTAGATTGCTGCCAGGACAAGGTTGGCAGAAAGATAGAGCCAGAAGGTAAAATCCAGTTGCTACAGGCATGATTGGAAGGCATGGAAATGGTGGAGAGATTTTGAAGAAACTTGAACAAGAAAGGGAAAAAAGATGGGTCAATGCTAGAGAGAGATGTGAGTTTGAGTGTTTTGTTTTTTGTTTTATCACGGCCAACATTTGACTTTATTCCTCAATGCAAAAGAATTTAGGGAAATGAGACCCTAGAAAGAAAGTGGATAGTAAAACAATGGAGGACAGGGAAAGTCCATGAGAGGTCAAGAGTAAATGGGATCCAGAGCACAGGGGAGGAGGAGGATTGGTAGTTTCTCACCTACCGATCCTTGAATGGAGGTGAGAATGATGCAGATCAGAGGAGCAGTCTCGCCAGCGGGTGAAGAGAGCTCATGCCTCTATTCCCTAGATGAGGCTCCAGGATAAGACTGAGGAGAGCAGTGAACACTGGAAGTGTCACAGAGAGAAATGGGAGAGGAAGAGAAGACTAAGAGGAACGAAGGAACTGGAGAACATAAAAACCAAAAATGGATCTGTTACCCAATGTGCCTGGGGTCTGCCCTAGCTTTGTACACCAAACTCTCTTCCTGGGTCCCTCACTGGTCAGCTGAGTGACTTCCACACAGCTTTGATGATTCTCAGGGAGGGTGGAACCAAGAGCAGAACTTGGTTTTTGTTCAGAAGAATGGCAGTCATACCCCAGCCTGGGTAGAAGAATCATTCCCAGAAAAAGGAACACTCCCCACACCTGAAAAGACAATGGGACTTAGCCTGAGTGGGACTCAACAAGCTAAATTTAGCTAATGATGTCTGGATCCCATTCCCAACCAATGAGATGAGACTCCAGTGCTCACCGCACCTACCACGCCATTAAAATAGACACTAATGTGGGACAGGTGGCCAAGACAAGGGCAGGATACAGTGCCTTTCAAACTCAGCCACACATTGAAGTCATCTGAGGAGTGTTAAACGTCACTAGTTGATCTGATTTAATTTAATACACCAAGAGTATCTGTATTTTGTAAAACTTCTCATGGTTGAGAATCACTTGGCTAAACTTCCACATGGTAGTTCTCAGAAATCAACATATTAACTTCTGAATTCCTTTCCCTAGAACGAGAAAAAAATAAAATAGAACTGGAGAATGGAAGTCTCTGAGAAGTCCTTGAAAGCCTTTACTTTCTTTTCCTTTCCTCTCTAGCATTCTACCAGCTATATGTAGGTCCTTTCTTGACATATCCAGGAGTGCATGTCCCTATAGCTAGTCTGCTCTGTGTTCCCAGGGAAATAAAATATTGTGACTCTTCCTGGACTGAATTGTCATCCCCCAAATGTCACCCACTCCTGCAATTCCAGTGTGTTCTCTTTACATCATTCCATTGCAGCCATTATCCCGTGACAGCATGCCTGGTGCCCATCTGCTCTCTGTATGGGGCCGCTGTCACCACTGTGGAAGGTGTAGGGAGCATCAAAACCAGGATTCATCCCGTGCAGGTAAGAGCACAATGATTGGGACCAGCTGATGGTATGGGAATCCCCCACCCCAGTCTAGTGACCTCCCATTTGGTCACCAACTTTGACATCCTTTGGGCTTTTAAATTCTTATTTTGTGACATTCAGTGCTTCATTTGCTAGTGCTCTTTTCAGGGATCTTTTAAAAATTCTTTCATTGATTGTAATAGATCTTAACCCCAAGAAACTTTCTCAGCCCCATCTTTGCCCTAAACCAAAAGAAAAGTCCAGTCTGAAAAGAGAAGAAAATGAAAGAGGAAACCAGAGATTTATAAAAGTAATAGTTTTCCCTTCACTTTTAAGATAAACTGAACTCTAATAGGGAGCCCAACCATACATAAGAATACTGCACAAATGCTTTCCAAACGTCTGACAAGTAACAGTACACCATGCCACAATAAAACAAAACTAAAATAACAAGGTGTTGACTAAAATTCAGAGGACTATCTAAAGATATGGAAATGTTAGTTTTATATACTAGAAGAGGAACATCTTCCCGGGATGAGTTTTAAAAGCACTATGTAGAAAAAAGAAATTATAAAAGCGTATCTTCCCCTGAGATTCCTTCTCTTGGAAGGCTGTGCTTGGAACTCCCAAGCTTGGCTGACAGCTCGTTACCTTTGATGGACACTTGCTAATAATGCATGTCTTTCAGCCATCAACTTAATGGCTTTGTGTTCTGTTTAAGATCTTGTACCATGCTTGGCTCATCATCTTAATTATGCAAACACTTTCTGCTATACTTGTTGGATTTCTTTCTCTGAAGTTCTTGATAGTACAGAGGTGGGATTTGTTCAGCAATGCCCCGGAGCAGGCTTGTACTGACTTGTGAGCATGAATTGTCAGTGTGCAGGAATTTCACAAGCCAGTCTTAAAACATACACCTATTCATAAATCAAACTATATACACTCACAATTACCTAATTTATAAAATAATATGGATTATGGAGGTGGAAGTAGTTAGACTATGAAAATTGGCAGAAAATATAAATCAGGGCTGGTTTTTCCCCCAGAGAGCCAGTTTTTAAACATTTACAAGCACATTTACAACCGGATTTATATGCCACATCTGAAATAAATTGCCTTTAGCAATAAATTTAACACAGCCATATTGTCTTCTAGCATTAGAACAATGTCTGTCCTTTGAGTTGAGCCACAGATGAAGTGTTTGGCTTTCATTTCAAGAGGCACACTCTTTGAAAAAATATTTATTTGAAAACATTTGCATCACACTCAAGCCGGCCCATTGAGCAGCCGTTGAGAGGTGCACAGGACAGATGCACGGTCCTGTCTCCCATTTATGTCATCATGGCATAGGGTCTTTGAAAGGAGCAAAGTAAATTGTCATTTCTCTTTTTCTGTTGTTCTGTTGTATTTGAGCGTAAATGGTTAAATTGTGTAAATTAAGTACATGAATAGTACAACACTACTAAACAACACTGTACAATTTTCAAAACATTCATATAGATAATGTCCTTAAAGTCATCAAAAATTCTGAAATATAGTTGGAGAAGAGGATGCAAATTATTTGCTCATATTCAACTATTTATAATGATCTGTAAAATAGATATCATTATCTCCATTTTATAGATGAAGAAGTCAAGTAAATCAGCCGAACTCACACAACAAAGGAGGTGCCAGAGGGACCAAAACTCACATGAAAATGACACCAAAGCACATTAGTTGTTCTAAGCCACACTTCCTGTTTCACAGGCTCCAAATAGCAAAGTGTCTTAATTAACTTGCTTTTCTTGAGGGCAAAAATAATACACATCTGATTTTAAGAAATAAAGTGCTTTCCTTTCAGGGGTTATCTTTTACCCTGCAGTTATTTCTGGAAAGTGGAATCTACAACCTTTTGTTGCGGCCTGGGGAACAAAGGTAGGGAAACAAGAGGTCTAAAGCATAAATGATGGGTGTACCATTGCTTCCCAGGAAAGACTTGCCAAGTGTCATGGTACACAGTGTGGATTCTGCAGCCCAGGAATGGTGATGTCTATCTACACGCTGCTCAGGAACCACCCAGAGCCAACACCTGAGCAGATAATGGAAGCACTTGGAGGTGAGTCATCTTGGCCCTGCGTAGGCAGGAGTCAGAGTAAAAAGTGCTCAGGAAGCTAGACACAGAGACCCTGGCTCATGGGAGAAATAGTGGCACAGCTTCGTGGTTCCAGGCTCCTGACTTCCTTAGTACCTGTCCTGACCGAAGTATTTCTAGAAGGGGCTGTCTTTGTTTGGCAGCAATGATGCCAGGAATGGGCATGCTGCTGAATTCCTGACTAATACTTTTCTTTTGGTAGAGCCGTTTGTCACTCTGCAAAGACACACAGATGGGCTCTTTCTAACACTATCTTTTCTAAATGTAGAAATTTAGGTAAGCTGGAAGAACAAGATTGTGCTATTTCCTTTTTAATTAATCTGTCTGAATAGTTCATTAACATCACTTACTAAAATTAATTTTGCAAAAAGGAAAGACTTTTTAGATACTTTGTATCTTTATGCCCTAGTTGGTTCATTATAATAATATAATCCAGGAGATCGTAAAAACAATTAGTTATCAAACAAACTTAGCAATTCGATCTCCTGAGGCAAAAGAGCTATCAAATTTAAATGAACAAAAACAATTATCTACCTGAAAAAGCTATGTTGACAAATGCAGTGTTCTTCTTTTTTTAAATTTTTATTGAGAAGAAATTCATTTGTCATAAAATTCACCTATTAAAGTGTACAATCCAGCGTTTTTAGTCTGTTCAGAGTTGAATAATCATCCCCACAATCAGTTTTAGAAAATATTCATCACCCAGAAAAGAAATGCCACAACTACTTAGTAATCAGTACCCCCCCCCCGTTCTCTCCCTCCCAACCTCCTACCATGGCAATTACTTTATTTATTTATTCATTCATTCATTCATTCATTCATTCTAATCAGTTATACACGACAGTAGAAAGCTCTTCAATTCATTGTACACAAATGGAGCAGAATTTTTCACTTCTCTGGTTGTATGTGAAGTAGAGTCACACCATTTGTGCAACCATACATGTACCTAGGGTAATGATGTCCATCTCATTCCACTGTCTTTCTTACTCCTCCCTTTTCCCCCTCCCTTCTACCTCATACAAAATTCCTCCACTTATCCCATGCCCCCCCATATGAATTAGCATCCACTTATCAGAGAAAACATTCAGTCCCTGGTTTTTTGAGATGGACTTATTTCATTTAGCATGATATTTTCCAACTCCATCCATTTACCTGAAAATGCCATAATTCTATTCTCTTTTAATGCTGAGTAATTTTCCATTGTGTGTATGTACCAAAGTTTCTTTATCCATTCATCTATTGAAGGGCATGTATGTTGGCTCCACAGTTTAGCTATCGTGATGTGGCAGTGTCCCTGTAATATGCTGTTTTAAGTTCTTTGGGTATAAACTGAGGAGTAGAATAGCTGAATCAAATGGTAGTTCCATTCCAAGTTTTCTAAGGAGTCTCCATACTGCTTTCCATTTTGGTTGCACCAATTTGCAGTCCCATCAGCAGTGTACGAGTTGTCCCCCCACATCCTCACCAACATTTATTGTTGCTTATATTCTTGATAACTGCTATTCAGACTGGAGTGAGATGAAATCTTAAGAGTAGTTTTGATTTGCATTTCTCTTATTACTAGAGATTTTGAACATTTTTTAATATATTTGTTGATGGAACAAATGCAGTTTTCCATAACAACACTAATTTCATGGTGACTGGTCACTAATTCTTAGAAGAAAGCTATTAAGGTAAATTTCTAGGTATTATAGGAAAGTTCTTTGTTCTTTTCTATAAACAGAACTGGACAGAAACTGAGTTTTATGATGAAAAGATGCAGAATACGACTAAATAGATGTTAAATTTAAATGTTATACGAAGTGGCATATTAGTATTCCCTAATATTTTCCCTTATCACTTAACAACAACTTTTTCAGTTTCTAGTTAAACACTATTAAAACATGGGTCGATAATTTCAATTATAACCTGAATGGATTGAGCAATTGATAATTTTTGCTCAGTGAAATAATGAGCAACTAATGAGGTATCAAGAACTTTGAAAAGCATAGGTCTTGTGATTTGCCCTTTTTATCAGCTTATTTGATTATGAGGCAATCTTACAGAGACAAATTATACCTTTCATGATTCTGTGCCTGTGATTAACATAGAAACCATCAAGAAAGAGATGGTACTGTCAAGTTTGGCTAAGTGGATGAGTCAGACAACTTTGTTCTAGGTGTAGATAACTTGAAGGGTATATTTATGCTCTCTGTAGATAACTCGAAGAGTATATTTATTTGCTCTCTTTCTAGAATTATAAATATTAGACACACTGATAACCTTTGTGGGTCTTTTTTTTAATAGGTGGTGCTGGGGTTCAAACCCAGAGCCTTGTGCATGCGAGGCAAACACTCTACCAAATGAGCGATATCTCCAGCCCTCATGGTCATATTCTAAGAAAAACAATAATACAGGGGCTGGGAATATAGTGCAGTTGGTAGAAAGCCTGCCTTATATGCACCAAGTCCTGGGTTCAATCCCCAGCACTGCCCCCCCCCACAAAGAAAGAAAAACAATAATATAAAATAAAGTTCAAATAAATGTAATTAGTATAGGCTTATAAGTTCTAAAATGGATAACCAACATAAACATCGCTGCTTAATTTAATCTAGGCTTTTCCTTTCAAGACTAAAGGAATAACATTTTTGAATTTTCATCTTTTTTTTCTTCTTAGAATTAGAAAAATGTCTATAATGGGCAGTTATCTTTTCTTCAGCAGTCTTTAATACAGTCTATGGAGTTAACACTGATTATGTAACCCTGAACAAAATGAAACAAAAAGCCCTAATACTGGCTCACCCCAGCCTTTACTGCTAGCTTACAGCTTATCAGAGAGAAGATGTGCATGGCCTTCCCACTACTTGTATTTCATACCACGTAGTTATGTTCTAGAAATTTCAGCTTCTTCCTTCTACTCTAAGGAATTCTAAATTCACATCCTTCCATGTTTTTTCTTCTTTGGCAAAAAGAAAGAGACTATGGAGTCTGCACCCATTCTTGTGTATTCAGGTTCTTCTAAAAAGAAAGGAGGGAACCCACAGCCCAACTTCCCTTGTGACTCACTGGAAGCAACACTTTTCTTCTAGGAGTTTTAACTTGCCCGATCCACATATACACACTCCCTCTGAAATTGTTAAACTATAATTGAACATAATAATTTGAAACATACTTTTAGTATAAAAATAATACATTCTATTGTGAAAGGGTCCCCAAATTTAAAGACATAGAAAAACTCACCAATAATTCTGCCACCAGTAGCGCCACCCAGACCAAGACATTAACACATGAGCCTTTGGGGACTCAGACTATAGCAGTCCCAATTCCTCTTCCCCTGGGAGACTGCAGGAGAAAGGTATGACGAAGGGACATATAGATGATATGGAGATGCAGATATACAACTTAGGATAGGGGCAGGAAATAAAGCAGAAAGGATTGAGAAAAACTTTGGAGATTTCTGTGGTATTTCAGGAAGAAAATGTAACCATAAAATCTATTTTTTGAAGAACATCTCCAAGGGAAACATTTTTTTCTAAAAAATCTTGCTGGCTTTAGGGAGAAAAAAAAAAGAATCTCAATACTAATACAACTATTCCACTGAAAACATGAAGTACAGATATGCAATGTATTTCTATATTATTTTCTAAAACTTTACCCCTTGTTAATCAGGTAATTTGTGCCGATGTACTGGATACCGACCAATTATAGAAAGTGGGAAAACTTTCTGTGTGGTGAGTTAAAAAAAAAAAAAAAAAGACTACCCATTCTGTTACATTAATGATCTTTTGCATAAAATAATGTATTGCATTCACTAATCTCTAAAATAACTCTAGGTTGCCTTTTCTAACCACTGAAAGTTGTTAAATACCTACAGCTTGTTTTTTTTTTTTTAAATAAATGGTTAGCATCTGTCTTGTTTTTATCCTTAAATTGGTCATTTTCCTGAGGAGGACAGAATTTAGTTCATGACTTCAAGAAATGTGTGGTCTACTAAAAAAAATAAAGCATGGAAACAATAAAACCATAATTGAAAAGCAAGATATTAAAAACTCAACATATCCAATATATGCATATAAATTTTGAAGGAACATGAACTTAAGAGAATTAATAAATGAGAAGAGAAGAGACAGAGGAGAGAAGGGGAGTTTTGAGCTAGGTCCTAAAGGAAATGCTAGAAATGAAGGCTAGAGAGAGGTCTAGGAAAATTCCAAGTAAGAAAATGGATGGAAGTAGGAAAAAGAGAGATGTCTAAAATTCAGGTAAGAATGACTAAATGATGAGACTAAAGTATTAAAAATTTATAAGATCCTGTTTGGGGCTAAAGAATGTAAATGTAAAGCTGATTACCAATGTGTAGTCATTGTTCTCAAGCCAGAAATAACACAATGAGAACAGAATTTTGGAAGACAAATTCTTGGCACTTGCTTATAGATAAGCCTGGGGAGCCATGTTGGGAGTGAAGGCATGGACTAGTGCCATATCCCACACAGGAGAGAATGACGACCCAGACCAGTGTGGCAAATGTGGATACAAGGAAATCACTTTTAAGAGGATTGCCAGAACCATAGCCACCAGATGGTAAAGAGCAAGGAACCCAGGTCACCTTCCAAGTCAAGAAACAGGAACCACAGGAGACAAAGGAAGCTGGGGAAAAAAATGATTTAGCGTATGGGGGAGCAGGTAGTTTTGAAATATCTTGTTTTCAGAAAGTTGAATGTCAGGAGAAGATATATTTTGAAACAATTTCAGTAGGGGTGTTTTTCCAAAACCCATTTTTTATGGTAAAAATTAATTTTTATATAATTTTTTGGCTAAAAACAATTCAAGGTACATAAGTTCATGCCAAATACTATAAAATCTTTAAAAGATATATTTTAATGCCAGTACTGAAAATTTTCAAGTTCTACATACTACTGGCTATTTTATTTTAATTCCTGGGTTGGATATTATTTATGTGGAACCATATGAGTGGGCAATATACTACCATTTTTGACCTTCAAAAACAGCAGTTTCTTTGTCTGATTCAACCTCTTACAGTGTGATTATTTTTCTGGTGACAAAAAAAAAATCTGTACAAAGATAGAGACAAAATTAGATATTTAGACTCTCTCTCACACTGGGTCCCCACATTCAGTTACTTATAGTTAGTTCCTTTGCTGGGTACAGCATTGACACAAAATCCAAATCCCTTCTTAATTCTGTAGAAATGATCTTGCAAGTAAGATATACCAGCTGCTACTTTGGCTGTAGTTCTATGTGTCAGGCACTGTATGAAACTTTTCTAATACTTAAATCTATCAAATCTTTTGGGGGTGGGTTTTATAATCCGAATTTAACCCTGCTAATATGTGTTAAAGCAGACACTAGACCCAGTTCACCTTGACTTATTTTTTTTTAATATTTTTTAGTTATACATGGACGAAGTATCTTTGTTTTGTTTATTTACTTTTATGTGGTGCTGAGGATCGAACCCAGTGCCTCACACATGGGAGGCAAGCGCTCTACCGCTGAACCACATCCTAGCTGCCTCCCCTTGACTTATGTATGAAGAACATCTCTAGATTGCCACAAACCCTTTGCCAGTGTTTACACATTGAAAAGGGAAAGCAGGAATGATAAGTCTGATTGTTGTAGTAACTAATAAATGAATTCTGACCCCAAACTCTGCATTTCTGCATGAAATGTCCTAAAAATTAACGTTAAATGCTTTTCATATGCTTGAGTCATCTCAATAATTCAAAATGATCCCAATAAACTAATAATAAGCTCAGGCTTTATTTATATTGATATTTAGAAAGTTTTCAATAAAGATACATGCTGTATCACCATTAAGATGACAAAAAGCAATCTGTTGGGTTGGTTACTACAGTGTACCTACACTTCATATATCTCAGTTCCAATAGAAGCCTCTGCTGGCTGACTCCACCCGCCTCTCACCCCTTTGCCATCCCCAGATATTGGAATGACACTGTTTACAGGACTCCATCCTGACTTCGTCTCGTTCACTCCCTATTATTTTATTTAATTGTTCAATGAAGAGATAGCAGGTTACCTAAACTGCCAGAGGCTAAGATAGGTAATTAAAGAACTAACTAATGAATTTGACTTCAACTGCATTACCTCCTAAGGAATCCAGTGTTTGTCAGCTGAAAGGATCCGGAAAATGTTGCATGGATCAAGATGAGCAGGCTCTTGAAAACAGACAAGAAAAAGTAAGTATCTGGCTTTTCCATTTCAGTTGAGATTGGCTGAAAAACATCCATATAAACCCAAAGGAGTTCTCTGTTAGTGTGAGTAAGTAAAATGCAAAATAAGTGAATTGGGATCATCAAAAGCCTCAAAGAGCTCCAAAAATTAGGAGGTTCATGATTCGCACCAGGCTTGTGGCACAGGCTGCTTCCCTTCCCAAGCATCAAGGCTTTCTGTGCTTAGTCTGAGTTTAGCAACCATCCCCATTCCTCTCACTAAGAGGGACTGAGCAGCAGTGCCCCCTCATGCTCTAGCCAGAAAAAAAAAAAATACCTGCAAATGATTTCTGGGACTCAGAACAAAAACCTGAAACCCAATTTCTGACACCAGAGGAAGAAAACCAGAGTCTAGTAAGCAAGCTGGGAAATCACCCAGTGCTCCTGAGAGAGTGGGAAGAACTCCACTGAGGGATGCCCTGTGGTTCTGGCACCTCATTCTGTGTCAGGACATGTCAGAGGAAGGGGCCCTGACTCTGAAGTCTCACACTTAAACCTTCCTGCACCTTTCTCAGTAACTCCGTGTTTTGTTTTGTTTCATTGAGATATGTACCAAACTGTATGATGAAGATGAATTCCAGCCATTGGACCCATCCCAGGAGCCTATATTCCCTCCTGAACTGATAGTAAGATACTTCTATTGTTTCATAACATGATATGGTCTCTGCCTTTTTGTATTACACTATGAAATTACTAAGCTGTAACATTAAAAGTGAGAAGTGTGCCCAAGATAATGGAGCAAAAACCCATTTTTAGGGACTTTATTCAGATAAGTGGACCAGACAGCTTGGAAGAGTGGTGCTGCCAGGATCAGCTGCCAGGATGCATTGGTTGAATCCCATCAACTGAAGAGCCTCAGGCCAGAGTACAGTGACTCACCCAAGGTCATTGGTACTCTGTGAGATATCTTAAAGGTCATTTGTAAAAACAGTGAAGTAAGAATCCAATGATGGGCTGGAGATATGGCTCAAGCGATAGCGTGCTCGCCTGGCATGTGTGTGGCCAGGGTTCCATCCTCAGCACCACATACAAACAAAGATGTTGTGTCCGCCGAAAACTAAAAAATAAATAGTAAAAAATTTTTTAAAAAAAAGAATCCAATGACACTTAGAATAGCAGAATCATACTATTCTTACATTTAGTTTCTGTAATTTCAACTCAGGGTGGGAAAGAGAAAGGGAAAATAACGTATATAGTGCAGTGTGTCTGCCACTCTCTTCTGTGCCTGGAGAGAACACGAGAGAGGTGATTCCACTAGCTTCAGAAGGTCTCAGTCCCCACACACCTCTCAGAATGTGAGAACTTGGGCATCCTGAGTACAAATCTAGAAATAAAAATTACATGCATAGTGTAGCTGTCTGTACGCACATATCTAAATATAGACATAGAGACAGTTGTTCAAAAAACCCATTTATGCAATTCCTGCTGAGTGATTTAAGGGATGCTTTTCAAGGATAATTTTGTCTATAAACAATTCTTGTCCAGCAGAAAATCTCAAACCCAAAGATGAGTCTCCTCTGAGTCACTGTTGGGCAGAACTAGAGCAGGAAGCCTGGCATCTTAGTTCCAGGCCAAGCCACCTTCACTACATTGTGCTATTTCCTCTTCACACACTCACTTCACAAACACAAACGGAGTTTAGGCCACTCTCCATGATGATTCTTTAGCAGTGCCATATGGATCTTATCAACAGATGACTCATTGGCGATCCCTAGAAGCTGGGTCTCTCCAGAAAGCTAAAATGCAGCCCACCTGGACACCCAGAGCTGTGGATACACTCGTGGCTTGTGTTCAAGAGCCCTGCTTGAAAGTGTGTTACATTTGCTTCTCTGCAGAGAATGGCAGAAGATCCAAATAAGAGGAGATTGACATTCCAAGGGGAGAGGACTACCTGGATCACCCCTGTAACCCTGGACGACCTTCTGGAGCTGAAAGCCAATTTCCCAAAAGCCCCGCTTGTCATGGGGAACACTACAGTGGGTTAGTGTTTGCTTCCCTGTTCTTTAGAGTGGTTAGCCTAAACTCTGTGTCTCTTCTGAAACTCCTCGTAAGTGCAATTCCTTTTTGTTAATGAGACTCATGATCCTTTAGAATGATTTGTTGCTTTCTTTTGAATATAAGTTACGAGCATCACAATTTTCATTCTGGCTTATCAGTATTATTATTAGCATCCATTTTCTTCTTTTTTCTGATTGCTTGAAATGCTATTCCCCCTAAGGACCCGCCATTAAGTTCAAAGATGAATTCCATCCAATTTTTATATCTCCACTTGGACTTCCAGAACTATACTTTGTGACCACCACAGATGATGGTAAGTACCTTCTTTCACAAATAAGATATAATTGTTGGCTATTGGGCTGTTGGGAAGCAACCACAAGTGCTGAGTGATTTTGAGATTTCACAGAATAACTCACCTCACTTATTTATTCAGATATTTACTGAGCACCTACCCTGTGTCTTTTATGAGCATTTTCAAATGGATTTACTCAGCTTCATCACTGAGCTCTACATCATCATAGGAGCCATAATAGCAGAAAGATGTCACATACCTCACCAGGTATTTAAGGATTGACCAAACAAGAAACTGAAGACATGTGCTGTCCAGTAGGAAAGGTTCTTGTCACACATTACTCTCTGATTCACAAATTTTCTCAAGACTCATTCCATATACACATACACAAACATATGCACACACACATACACATATCTTGACCACAAGAAATGTAACTATGAACAACAAATTTGTTTGAAATGTAACTATGAACAACAATTTTTTTTATCTTCACATGCTTTACAACAACCCCGAGAGATAGACAGACATAGCAGGCAGCCATGGTATCTCTATTACCCTACAGACGGTATAGAATCAAAGGGCTTAAGTAACTTCATCAATATCACACAGCTAGCATATCCAGGTCAAGGCTCCAACCCAGGTCTTCTTGCTCCACCTAATGCACTAAGGAAGGCAATCTGAAAAACACATCCCACCATCCACTACCCAGACTAAGCACTGGAATGATAATGACTGTAGAAACTAAAAATCCTATAAAGCAAGGTTCTCCCCAGTGAGGAAACAGAAATCAAGTAGACAATTTCTTGACAGCCCCTCTGACCTGCCAGTCTGAAGTCAGTCTGTCTGTTCACTTTCTAACCAACCTGTTGGAAAGTCTATATCAATGGACTCACAGGGAGAGATCGGGCAAGGGAGGCCAGCCATGTAGAGCAGAAGGTTGGGAGAAGGTGTGGGAAGTATTTGGTTAGGGTGTGGTGAGGAGGTGGGGAGGAGGTAGAGCCTGTGGGATCCAAATCAGTGTTTGGGTCTTCACTGTTGTCCCTCCGGGGAGCAATAGGCACTGTTTCCCTAACCATCCATCTAGTAGATTTTAATACCACCCATAAAATGTATATCTTTTTTATGTGCAGTGTGTGTTTTGGTGCTTTATACATAAAAAGAGTTTCGCACTCCTTTGGGAGCAATATTGCCCCCATTGAGGATGCATGGACTAGATGACATCACTACTTAAACCATACCCTGTAAGCATACCTGCAAATAAAATTGACCCAAGATATGGCAGTTGTCTATTCTTTTTTATCTTTTTGATGTGAGAACAATAAGAAGAGATAACTGAAGAAGGACAAATGGGCAATTGACATTTTTCAGGTTAATTTTTATTTAGGCTTTGTAAGCTTAAAAACAAAACAAAAAACCCTTATGAGACCTTGACTAAGATTTCCCTATTTGAGCAATTTATTTAGGAAAAGTAAATGAAGTACTGAATTTCAGTTATTCGTGCTTGATATGTGCTAAAGTCTATGACACACATGACTGAGAAAAGGAGTTTGGTGTTCAGTATTTGAGAGTAAAGCAGATTGCCAGAAATATTTTTAATTATTGTATTTGTTGGTTGTTGTTCTGAGTGAATATGGAAAGCGAAGACAGATTGAAGAGACTGGTTTCATGCAGTCCTATCTTGTTAAAGTTCAGTTAAGCTTATATTCCACTATCTTATTTTTAGGGGTAACAATAGGTGCAGGATACAGCCTGGCCCAGTTGAATGATGCCTTACAAATTATTGTTTCGGAGCAACCAAAGGAGAAGACTAAGACATTTCGCGCCCTCCTGAAGCAACTGAGGACACTTGCAGGAGCCCAGATTAGAAACATGGCTGTACGTTCTCTATTAGATAAAATAAGTCACAGTTCTGGACAGACATACAGTTCTGCTCATTTTAACCAGTGTTATCCTGAAGAGGAATCCTAAGTCAATGTTGAACATGTCTCCTCAATATGAGAGTGGGGATGGGTGGAGGTGTTCAAAGTAAGAGAACTGTGATATAACAAGATTATGATACAAGAGTCAGAAGATTCCCAAATCCTAGTCCCAATTACCTGTGATGATGTATGATCCTGGAGAAGCTATTTGATCTCTTTAAACCACTGTCTCTTAATTTTTGAAATTAAGGTCCAACCCAATGGACTGTCTCTAAGGTACTGTCCAGCTCTAACAGTCTATGAAATATGCCTCCAAGATGCTCTTTTATGGCTGGTTCTCCTCTTAGATCTTTGTATTAAGGTCAGTTTCTAAATGTGTCTCCCACATGTGCATTCATGGATTCCCCCAGTTGTCTAGCTTACTGGGGTTTCCTAGTTATTTAATATTTGAGAAAAAAAATCAAAGGGAGATCAGTAGAGTAGAAGAAGGGGATCCAGGAGAGTGAGGAGGAGAGGGGAAATACTGGGAAATTATATTGACCAAATTATATTGTGCACATGTACAAATATATAACAACAAATTCTACCATTATGTACAACTGTAATGTACCAATAAAAATACAGTGGGGGGGGACTTAAGAAAAATTGGCTCAGACTACTCCCCATTCCACACATGGTGGGTAGATTAGCAGGATTTGGTGGGGTCATGGGTCACTGTATTTCTCCTGTTTGGCTCTGGCTCTTTGGCTGATCCTCCAAATCTGCCCTTCATTTTCACCTTCTGCATCTTATGTCCCTTTTCTAAATGGCATTGCTCCTCTCAATTTCAACTTGACCCCGTAAGTCTTCAGAGAGCCCTTGTTTGAGTCAATGTGGAATAGCCTTTACTGAAAGTCCAAGGTGACAGAGAAGCATTCTATTTCACAGCAGCAAGATAGGCTCCATATCCCAGTTTTTCAATTTGCTCAGGCCACAGTCTCTCCACCCTCCTCATGTTGTCTGACACTTTCTCTACCCTTTGGCCAAACCTTCCCTTCCCGCTAACCTGCTTTCACCAGCTCCCAAAATCCCATTCATTTCCTTTTGTATCTATCTTCGTAGGTAAACACGCCTATCAAGGAATGTTTCCAAAGACAAATGCATATTTGAGTCAGTCCTTGAGGAAATCATTCCTCCTTGTTGCACATGGAAGAGGAATATTTTCTCAGGATGGGGTCAAGAGTGGGAATCTTGTATGATATGTTGTCTGAATCTACTTAGCTGCTTCCAAATTCACAGATCTTTCTGTGACACAAAGAAGAGAATTAAAAACTTAACACAAGGCCTCTGTATAGAGAATTCATTATCTGACAAACAACTAAGTACATCTTTTCAAATGCCATCCTTTTTTATTTAGACTTTAGGAGGACATGTGGCAAGCCAACCTCATTTTTCTGACCTAAATCCCATTTTAGCAGCAGGAAATGCAACCATCAACCTGATATCTAAAGGTAAGAGGCCAAGCTTCAGATATTCTACTTTAGACTTACCACTGTTTGTTTTGTAGCTTCTGCTGTAATTATTAGCTGGGGACCCAAGAATATTTAATTTCACTTCATAAGGCTATGTTTACATTGCTTCATCACACACCTTCAAAGGGTGAAACTTTGATCAGTTAGTCTGCTCTCCAGAGGTCCTTTATCTTACAAACTGGATACTTTTATTGCACCTGACAATTCTTCTTAAATATTTGACCAATTTGTGAGCAGTTAAAATTACAGTATCAAAGTAGTTGAAGAAAAATACTAATGAGCAGTCTCTCCATGGCATATTTCAATCCAGAGTTTCATAAAAATGGCAGTTTTTCTTATAAGAATTTCATTTTAAACTAAATGAAGTTTGTGGGACATCTTACCCATTACTTCTGTCCTTATTCAGATACTTTGAGCTTTTGGGAGGATTTTAAGTTTCAGGAAATTAAAACAAACTCATATCATTCGCAGGGCTACTGGTGTATGAGATTCTTCTCTGATTAAAATTACTTTTTTAAAGGTGACTCAAGAGAGTATGATAAACTAAGAGAACAATGTGTGTGTGTGTATGTGTGTGTGTGTGTGTGTGTGTACACATATATGCAAATAATCAAAGAGAAAGTGATATATCAGGAATCCCACCTCTGCCGGAAGTCCTACCTCTAGTACTATGGAAAGGTCATTCAATCTTTCCCAACCTCAATTTTACCATTTGTGAAATATAAACATTGCAGATTGTTTCCAAATAACTTTAAAGTTCCTTAAGGCCAAAATTTGTGAGTGGTGTATAAATGTGCTGTGAGAACAGAAAAGACTCCTCAGCTTATCAGGTCCATCCCTGTCATTGTGCAGATGGGAGCCCAAAACTGCCATGACTTGCTTTTCAGCAATCCAGGTTGGGAGCTGGAACTAGACCCCTGTGTTCTGGCTCCCGGCCCTCATGCTGTCTTTCCCACAGAGACATCACATCCACCCCTTGCCATGGGTTCTGCAGTGAAAAAGCTCAACCTAATCAAGGCCATTTTCTCTAACAGAAGGAGAACGGCAGATTCCATTAAATGGCCCTTTCCTGGAGAGAGCACCAGAGGCCAACCTGAAATCTGAAGAGATTGTCTTGTCCATTTTCATCCCCTACTCTACACAGGTGACGGTCCTGGAACTGCTGCCCTGCCCCACAGAAGCCCTGCTGGCCCTGCGCGGAAAGCCTGAGCTGCAAACAGGCTTCCAGGGGAAATGGCCCCCTATTCAGAACCAGCTGCTTCAGGGAGACTTTGGGCCTCTCACAGGGGGAGGCCAATTCCCAGATGGTCATTTGATTTTCTTTCATAGAAGGGTCACATTATAACTTTCATGGATCCTCAGCATTTGATTCTTCATGACTCCCTTCTTCCATAAATATATATATTTATGTTTGTATAAAGGCAAATATAACCCTGGCTGCATTCAGTACTCTATACACATTATTATTATTATTATTATTATTATTATTATTATTATTATTATTATATTCATTTCTTTCTTTTGATTTAAAAGAAATTAAGAGTGAAACATGGGCTTGATGTATATTACTCTGCCAAAGTTCAAGATAGCCTTTACACGAACTAAATATGTTTTTACTCTTGTTGATTTTATTTTGTAGTTTTCTAATAAATGGTCTAAAGATTTCTCGTTAATGTTTTGCAGAGGTACTGCTTTAAGAACACGTAACCTGGGTTAATTTTAGATAATAAATTATCACCTACAGGATAGAGAGATAGATATTAAAGCCCAGTACTCTGGTGATATTGATTTGCTGGATGTTTAAGATTAAGATTTAAAATTAAAGTTAAATTAAAAGGGCCAAAAAACCCAAAAGAACTCCTAATAGTATCCTGGTCCTTATCCTTGGGTCTAAGGGTACATCGGCCTTGCAAAAGCAAAATCTTTTTTGTGAGTAGAATTTTTGATTTCAGATGAATGTGCATCTTAGCCAAGATTGAGTACATAGTCAACATTAGCTAGGGGAAGCTTCTAACAAAGTAAAAGTTATTTCAGGTGTTTCAAAGTCAACCAACATTTATTAACCAAATCATTTAATAAGATTCTTTACCTACCGACTATGTATCACGGCACGGTGTTCAAACTGGAAGATACTATAAGAGTTAAAAGACATGGGGTCCTGTCCTCAGAGTCTCTAACAGGAAGGGCTTGAAAGGTAGGGTAGGGGAAGGGGGACCAATTGCCTGGGACAGGAAATGACAGGCAGCTAGAGTAGTTTCTATTGGGGGACAGCTGGTGACAGAGAGACTCCTGCCCTGAAAAGGGAGAGAAGGCAATCAGGGTCAGAATAAAAGATGATAGCCCTGAATCCATGGGGTGGCCAGTCTGGGCAGGAGAACCACGTGGAGCTGGGAGGTAGGGAACAGGGCAGCTGGACAGCCTGCAAGGTGAGGCAGGGAAGGTAGCCAAGGTCCATCACTGAGCATCTCAGCTGCTACAAGGACTTATGTGTTTTAGCAGGTGGCCACCTTTGAAGGCCTAAAGCAAGGTAAAATTTGAATAAAAGAGATATTTTAAGAATATTGATCCAGTAGAAGAAATGAGTGAGCATAAATTGGTTGGGGAAGGACTGAGGGCAGAAGGAGCAGTGAGGAGGCCAAGGCAGTGGCACCTTTTCTCCTGACTGTCCCCTCATCCCAACAGCAGCCCCCGTTACCAGCTGATCCAACCCAACTTCTCATTTTAAAGAAAATTAGAATGTAAACGGTTTAAGTCACTTACTTACCCAAGCTACATGTGGCCATCCAGAGTTGAAAGAAATAGAGCCCAGGGGATGAGCAGGGACTCTGGAGGCAGACAGCTCGGGAACCCCAGCTCTGCCACTTACTTACCCCAGCTCTTACACTTACTGTGTCTCTTTGTGCAAGTAGATCAGTGGAGATAAGCACTAACCCTTTCTCTATCTCTAGTGGCACTTTGTGTCGGGGCTCCGGCTGGCCCAACGGCAAGAGAATGCCTTTGCCATTGTCAATGCTGGGATGAGCGTGAAGTTTGAAGACAACACAAACACAGTCCGGGAGCTCCAGATGTTCTTTGGAAGTGTTGGCCCCACCGTGCTCTCTGCAAGCCAAACCTGCAGACGGCTTGTTGGGAGGTATGTCATGGCGTGTCTGAGACATGAAATGTGGGCCATTCTGTTTGGAATGTTTTAATAAAAAATGTACTTGGGAAATTTTTTTCAAACATATATATGGTCCCCTTAAAAAAATTAAGCACCGCAGAATTGGATGAAGAAAGTACAAGCCACCCAAAAGCCAGGCCTTTGAGAGAAAATGATTCTTTTATTGCAAGTTTCTGTAGTAAAGTTTATGCATAAATCACATGGTTTGAGTAGGTGGTACCTCTAAGGAATCTACTGTAAAATACGTAAATAGCTCTAATTCTGGGACTTAAGACATCTGAATATATTCTTACTCCACTTAAAGAACATGAAATATATTTTTAAAAAGTCACATTGTCTTTTTCTTGTAACTCTCATGACCTCTAGCATTTGGAGAGTAAGTTCTAAAAATTCTTCCAACTTGCAGTTTTACAATAAATTTAACCCATCATCAAAATTTAACCTTCTTTGTCAATACTAGCAATTAATGCCAGGTTTTTCAGATATGAAAATAAATCTATGCTTCCAAAATAACTCTGTACAAATTTCCGCTCGTGAAATTTTTCCAACTCTCTTCAATCATTGGGTCATTTACCATGTTTATGCAGTGTACTGTGTGTACCACTCACTGATCTAGTTCCTGCAGACACAGCAGAGCACAAGACAGACAGAGCTGCAGGTCTCAGGAAGCTTTGGTTTTAGTAGTGTTTTGGTTGTTTGTTTTGTTTTTGTTTTTCACTTGAGCTATGTGAGGTAAATCAATATTTCCAACTCATTTCATTAAAAAAAATAATAAAGGAGAATTCAGTAAGGAAACTTTGGGAGCCCCTGCATTAGATGCTTAAAAAAAAAAAAGCTAATGAAGTATTTTGAGAATCTTTTGTTCAGACTTCATAGATAATTACAGATGCCTGGAATTATAGCTCCGTGGTAGAGCAGTTGCCTAGCACATGTGAGCCCAGATTCAATCCCCTGTACTTCCCCAATTCTCTCTCTCTCTCTCTCTCTCTCTCTCTCTCTCTCTCTCTCTCTCTCTCTC